TGGTGGAGTTGTGGGGAAAACAAACCCTTCTCCACTGTTGGATTATAGAATGGTGCAACCACTGTGCAAATCAGAGGGGAGATTCCTCAAAAAACTAGGACTACAGGAGACACATTTGACCCAGCTATATAGCCCTTCTTGCGATCTTCCCCAAAGAATTTAAGGCATCATAGTACAGCAATATATGCATAATCATATTTACAGAAGCAGTTTGTAGTGGCTAACTGTTGGGAATAGCCCCAGTGTCCATCAACTCATAAGTGCATAAAGATATAGGGTTTTTATACAATGGAGTACTACTCTGCCATAAAGAATAAGCTTGAGACATTTCCTTTTTTTTCCTGTATTTTAGGGAAGGGTCTACAGGGTCTCACTACTAGATCAGATTCATAGTGATCCTCCTGTTTACAGCCTCCAAAGAGCTGGGATTACAGGTGTGCGCCACCACTCCTAGTCTCAATTGCTGTCTCAGTGAGCCCTGGGAGGCGGGGCCGGCACAGCAGGCCCAGGGATCAAACCCCTGACGCCTGCACCTGCTTGCAGGCACTTTAATCTGCTGAGCTATTTGGCCGGCCCAGGCTTGAGACGTTTCTAGCTAAGTGCATCTACCTTGAGTCCATATTCTTAAATAAATTGGACACACATGTAAATACTGCACTGCAGAGCCAGGTGTGGAGGTATACACTTGTAATTTCAGCATTTAGGCTGCTGAGGCAGGCAGAACAGTTGAGTTCAAGGTCAGCCTAGGATATATAGCGAGTTCAAGGCCAGCCTGGACTGCAGAGGGAGAACCTGTCAAAAACAACAAAAAGACCAGCATCACATTGTTTCTCTGATATGAGAAACTGAAAGTGTAAGTAACCAAAACGTGTAATAGATTGTTATGGTGTATGTGTAGACGTCCGTTCCCCCCTGCCCAAAGCCTCGTGCAGTCATGAGGCTTCTGGAGTTTGACTGATTCATGGGCCGAGGCTGCAACTGTGGGTGTGAGTGCTACACCCGGCCTATGGCGGATGGCCTGCATGCGACACAAAGGAGGGAGGTCTCTTTCTGCTCTTCTCCCTCTATTTTTTGTCTTTTTCAGATAGTTGCACTGCATAGCTCAGGCTGGCCTTGAGCTCACTTTTTATCCCAAGTTGGTCTCAAACTCACAGCAATCCTCTTGCCTCAGTCTCCTGAGTGCTGGGATTACAGGCGTGCGCCACTTAGCTTCCTCTCCCTTTTTGCTCTTACTGCTTTTGCTGTGTTGCGCTGCCTCCACCATGACACCCTGCCGTGCAGCCAGTACATTATAGACTGAAAGCTCAACATTTTTTTTTTTTTTTTTTTTTTTTTGCAGAACCAGGGATTGAACTCAGGCCCTTATGCTTGCCAGGGAAGCGCTTATTCCACTGAGCCATCTCCCCGGCCCCAGGATTTTTTTTTTTTTTTTTTTTTGCTCCAAATGCCTTCAGGGCAGGTTTGGCTGGCTTGAGTTGTGGGGATCAAACCACAGCAACCTGAGCCTGACTGCTTTGTTGAAGCAGCCACTTATCTAAATAAACTTTCTTTTCCTTAACTTGGGCATGTTAGTTTGTCTCAGCGATGAGAAAAAAGTAACCAAAATAGGAAGAAAATGTTCAGTCATGCAGCACAAGTGCCTTCTCTTCCAGTCTCCTTGCTGTCAGTGGCACAAGTGAGATGATGAAGGGAACATCATCGTTTGGAAAGCATCGTAATAGGACGCACATGTTGTGCCGCCGCTGTGGCTCTAAGGCCTACCACCTTCAGAATTCGACTTGTGGCAAATGTGGCTATCCTGTCAAGTGCAAAAGAAAGTATAAAATAGGGGCTGGGGAAATGGAAGGAAGGACACCTAAACCCAAAAGAACAGCTGTTGCGCTGCATCTGCCTGAGCACAGCGCTTTAATCCGCTATTTGGCCGGCCTGTTTTTGTGTTTTTGAGATAGGGTCTTGCTATGCATTTCAGACTGGTGGCCTTGAACTTGCTTTGTAACACAGGCTGTTAAACTCTCTCCCCCACCCCCTGGAACCGGGGATTGAACTCAGGCTCTTGCGCTTGCTGGGGAAGCACTTATTCCACTGAGCCATCTCCCTGGCCCAGGCTGTTAAACTCTTGCGGAGATCCTCCTGCCTCAGCCTCCTGAGTGCTGGGAACACAGGTGTGTGCAGCCACACCCAGCCCAATTTCTTTTTCTTTTTCCTTTTCTCATTAAAAAAAAAAAATTCCGTTCCTTCCCTTCCCCCTCTCCCTTTATATTTGCCCTTCTCAATTGAACATTTTCTTTTCTTTTTTTAAAACCAAAGCATTTATTCTGCGTGATTGCTCCAGGGTTCCATCCCTAGCCTCCCATGCTAGGGCCCCACCCATGGGAGCGCCCTGAGACTGCAATTGAGACTAGGCTGGGCATGGTGACTCACACCTGTAATCCCAGTTCTTGGGAGGCTGAACACTGGGCAATCACTATGAGTCCAATCTACATGGTGAGACCCTGTAGACGCTGTACTAAATACAAACAAAAAACTAAAAGTGGTCTCCAATCAGTTGACCACCTGCTGAAACTATGTGTACAACCGCAAGCAACCCAAAACTCTTAGTCCTCCCATGAAAAAAACCCTAAATACCATTTCAGTCAAACCTGTAACACATACAGCTAACAGAATACTAGATCCAAATCTAAAAGGAGCTACCTACTGATGTGAAAAAGAAGCCAGGTGTGGTAATCCCAGCACTTGGGAGGTTGTTGCAGAATTGCTAGGAGTTCAGCACCAGCCTGAACTACATATATTTTTTTTTAATTATTGTTTATTTATTTTTGTGTATGTGTGTGTGTGGCCAGCTCAGCCCACCAGGGGGCGGGGCTGGCTGGCATGTGGTGCTGGGGGATTGAACCGCGGTCCCTGTGCATTGCTAACCTTGTTCTAAGTAGGTGCTTTAGACCACTGAGCCATCTCACCAGCCCTGAACTACATATTGACGTCTGGTTTTTGCTGTTTTTTTTTTTTTTGGCTGGCTCAGGATGCCTTAAGAGCAGGTCTGGTAAGGCATGAGGATCTGGGGATTGAACCACAGTATCCTGTGTCTGACTGTATTTGCCTTAGCAGGCACTTAAAACAACTGAGCTAACTGGCAGGCCCCCAAAAGTTGAAAAGGATTTTTTTTTTTTCTGAACCTACATATTGAGACAATCTCAAAAAAAAAAAAAAAAAAGTTCAAGATATGGTAAAACTATGATAAATGTGATCATTATGCATATAAAAATCGTACTAATGAATTATTTTGAAAATACGGTAATCCGGTCCATTTGTCAAAAACTGAAAATAAAAACAAAAACAAAACATAGACATGGCAAAACATTTAATGTCTATAGGTTTACTTCACTCCCACATTCATGGGGTTCAACAGCCTCCACAAACTGTATACTGCTGAACTGGCAGTACCACAGGAACCCTGGGCATGTTCTTTCAGCACGTTTGGAAACCATCCAGCTCCTAGTCCTCTTGATCTGGAAATCAGCAGGTGACATCTTTCCACAGCATGCTCAGGAGAAAACACTCCCATGTTACAGGACTCCTGAGCCCTTCTGTTCTTCGGCGGCCTGGCGCCGGGCGCTGCGTAGCTGCAGGTAATGGTAGGCCCGGACGCTGCAGAGGTAGCCCCCATACACAGTGAGGAGCATCATGGAGGCTGAGAAGGCCTTGTAGCCGATGTCAGCTAGCTGCTTGCTAGTTGGCATGGTGTTCCCTACAAAGAGATACTGCAATCAGACAAAGGCTAAGGATTCCTGTCCCCAGCCCAGCCCTCCTCTAGGGAGGGCTGCATCATTCTCTAACCTGCATCCTGTTGCTTAGTCTGTCCATACTCTACACTGAATGGCCCAACACAACAGTCTTGTAAGGCTACCCCGTGGTTGTGCACAAGACAGACACAAGGTGGAAACCAGGTACATCTGAATGCAATTACACTGCCAACTGGCTCTCAACACTTGTGGAGAAAGGCCACTGGCCCACTCAGAACTGATCTGAACTGGTATATATTACTTGGTGTGTATCAGTTTTTTGACTCATAGGAAATTCATAGAAGTAGCTAGGGTTTAACATTAGTAAACAGTTATTGCAATATCCTTCCCCATAATTTCCTTCCCCATAAAAACAACCTTGTTCACAGTAGTTAGTCTTAAAACATGTTTAAGCCATAATATGAAATAATGCCAACAGTACTTTTATATTATTTGAATTATACTTAACCTTCTAATAGCATTAATTCTAAATTCTAAATTGAACATTAAGAACTTGTTCCAAGGGCTAAAAACAATCTTCCTAGATCCTGTCCCCAGTAAATTTTAACTCATATTTGCATGAGATATATTACCTCTAATTTAACTCTTCCCTTGCTATTGTAAGCTGGGAAAAAAGAGCAAGTTTAGTATATGAATCCCTTGTTCAGAACAGAATGTTCCTCAATTGGGGACTGAGTTACCTTTTTTTTTCCCCCTGTATTTTAGGGAAGAGTCTACAGGGTGTTCAGGGTCTCACTTACTAGATCGGACTTGTAGTGATCCACCTGTTTACAGCCTCCCAAGAACTGGGATTATAGGCGCATGCCACCACGCCCAGTCTCAATTGCAGTCTCAGCCTGCCCTGAGGGCGGGGCCAGCACAGCAGGCCCAGGGATCGAACCCCCAGCCCTTGCACCTGCGTGCTGGTGCTTTAATCTGCTGAGCTATTTGGCCTGCCCTAATATTATTATTATTATTATTATTATTTTTTTTTTTTTTTGTATTTTTAAGGAAGGGACTACAGGGTGTTCAGGGTCTCACTACTAGATCGGACTCAGTGATTCTCCTGTTTACAGTCTCCCAAGAGCAGGGATTACAGGTGTGCGCAACCACGCCCAGTAGCCGGCCCATGCTACCTTCTATTCAGAGAACTGAAATTAAGACTGACCAAAGCCAGATATGGCAGCACACACCTGTAACCCCTGAATTTGGGGGCCTGGGGCAGTAGGAATCCAAGTTCAAGGCTGGCCTGGGTTACACAGTAAGGCATCTACTTAGGTGAAAAACACCTAATTAGTGTTCGTAACTTGGGCTAGGCGGTGGTAGCATACTTTTGGTACCAACTACTTGGGAGGCTGAGGCAGGAGACAATAGTTTATGATGAAGAATTCAGGACCAGCCTCAGCAACACAACTATAACTTGTCTCAAAAAGTGGAGCATCTGGGAAAAGATAATCTCAAACTGGTATAGACAATTGACAGTGGGGTAGGGGACACGTAAGTGCTCTTGTGTGAGCTGGAATGGCTAACACTGGGCGGGGAGATGGCTCAGTGGAATAAGCGCTTCCCTGGCAAGTGCAAGGGCCTGCAATAAATAAACAAATGGAATGGCTAACACTTCCTTTCAGGCGGGCCCAGAGGATGGACCCAACCTGAATTAGAGTGAGACCCTGTCTTAAATAAAAATAAAACCAAGAGACAGAGGCCAAGGGAGCAACAACTGGAAGAAGACAATAAGAAAAAAGGCGGATAGGAAATTCTATACAGGGCCAGCCAAACAGCTCAGCAGATGAAAGTGCCTGCAAGCAGGTGCAGGGGCTGGGGGTTTGATCCCCAGGCCTGCCATGCCAGCCCTGCCCCCAGGGCACACTGAGAGCATCTGAGACAGGGCGTGCCTGTAATCCCAGCTCTTGGGAGGCTATAAACAGGTGGATCACTAAGGGTCTGATCTAGTTGTTTTTTGGTTTTTTTTGCGGAACCAGGGATTGAACTCAGGCCCTTGTGCTTGCCAGGGAAGCGCTTATTCAACTAAGCCATCTCCCCAGTCCTTGATCTAGTATTGAGACCCTGAACACCCTGTAGACTCTTCCCTAAAAAACAAAAAAAAAAAAAAAAAAAAAAGAAAGAAAAGAAAAAGAAACTCACTCTACACATATAGAGGGTGATAGTTCATTTAGCTACATTTTCCTTCCTGGTTAAAAATCATCTCTGTACCAGCCACTGGACAAATGTGCTATATCCTTCCTGTGTGTCTGGCCAGAATAAAAACTGGCAAAGTGTCATGAAGTCTGGTCAGATGGGAGCACAGGATGGAATGGGTGGCCAGGTTACTAAGGCCTAGGGTGGATGTTGAGTTAATGCAATGAAGTGGAACAGGCAGCATGCATCAAATAGCACAGATCTCAGCCAGGGCTGCCACCAGCCTACAATCTCTCCTGGTCAGGTGTGTGTCTAGCACTTTCCCAGGACAAACAAAAACAGATTATTAAGATCATAAACCTCTTACCCAAAGAGGAGAAACATGTTCTTATGGTTAAGGGAAAGTGATAGAACTGTAGATTGAATGACAAGATCAAGATAACTCTAGTTTTGTTTGCATATTGATAAGGAAAATGTGATTTTGGGGAGGAGCGACAGGATTTCACTACACAGTTCAGGCTGGTCTTGAACTCACTTTGTAGCCCAGGCTGGCCTCAAGTCAGAGCAATCCTCCTGCCTCAGCCTCTCAAGGGCTGGGATCAGGCGTGCATCACCAAGCCTGGCTTTGGTGTGAGTACCTTTTAAAAGGGAAGAAGATGGTGATTAAATTGAGGATAAAAGTGTGGTGGGGAAAAATGGAACCACACTGAAGACAGTCTAGGAGAAAATGAAACCAGAAGTCCAGTGAGAAGATTTAACCTCGGAAAATGAAGGAAACTTCTCAGACTGGAAGAACATTCTCATTCATTTAAGGAAAAATCATCTTCTCAATAAAGCACAAAGAAAAAATAATAAAGCACAAAGCTGGAGCCTAGCATCTTGGCTCAGACATGTGATCCCAACATGGAGGCTAAGGCAGGATTGTAAATTTGTGCCCAGCTTGGGAAAGGGGGGCGGAGGGGGGGGGGTTGGGGCTGTAGTTCAGGGTGAAAGCCCTACTTTCAACCTTTCCAACCTCCAGTACAGAGCGCTGTGAGGCACAAAGCTGGGTCTCTATTATGAAGTGATGAAAAAAAGGATGGAACTACGGGTTTTGCAAAAACCCATTAAAATCATAAAATACCATAAGGGTGCAATTTGTTAGGGTTCTCTTTTTTGGCCCTCTAAGTATGGGAGGACCTCAAGACTCAGCTTTCTTTTGAAAATTCATTCCTTCAAATGGGTCAATTTACATCCACCTAGACTCACTAGTTTATTTCGCACTTGGAGCACATAATCATCCTACAAGGGCGCACAAATGAATACGGCTGCTGTCTAAAGGAGCTTATGGTGGTAAGCTACGAATCCTATATTCTGTTACCCGAGGTGGAACAGGGTGGGTGAGTTAGTTCGGAAGCAGAGCGGAGGCTTGGGACAAGGTGCAGGGGTGGTGCTGTCTTTTTAGAGAGGTGCAAAGAATTTAAACCACCACTGGGCTGGGGAGATAGCTCAGTAGAATAAGCGCTTGCCTGGCAAGTACAAGGTCCTGACTTCAATCCCTGATACCACAAAGAGAGAAGGAGGGGGAATCCGGCCGCGGCTAGACGCCAGGCCAGGATGAGGCCAGACGCGAGCGCGGCGGCGATTCAGCCGGGCTGCCCTACCTAAAGCCGCGCGGCGCTCGCGGCCGAGCCCACAAGGGCGCCGAAGACGCAGCCGGGAAGACGGGGAGGAGCAGGAAGCGGGCGGCCCGAGGGGAGCGCTTTCTCGGCCGTGGCCCGAGGCGTACCTGGGTTCTGCCTCTCCCTCGCGTCCGACCGAGGCCTCCCTGCACACCCGCAGCGTCCTGCCGCCACGGTCTGCACTTCCTAGGCCCGAAAGCCACGCCCAGGACGACACACGTGCGGGTGGCGACCCGAGAACAACCCTATACGCCTCAGCTACTGGCGTAGAAAGCGGCTTTTTCCCGCCCGCTTCGGCCTCCAGGTCTCGCTTCCAACCTCGGGAAGCAAGCCGACGCCCGGCCCAGCAAAAGCCCGCCCCTTATGGAGGGAGTCGCCCTGCCATACCCAAACGGGTGCCCGGCTTTGAACTTCCGGCTTCCGGGTCAGTTATCCTTGCGACGCATCCTCAGACGAGCCTTCCTCCCTGAGGAGCCCATTGGATTCTGGGGGTTGTGGTTACGCTTCATCAAGAGAGCGTCTGTGGTAACTGGAGTCCGGGAACCGGAAAGTTTAGAACGAGAATCACCCAATCCCCAGCTTACAGCTCGGTGACGTCTCCGGTAGTCAGGTAGATTTTCTCGGAGCCTGCCCTTCGGCGTGGACTGCGCGCCCCCTAGGGCCTGGAGCAGCCTTCTCCGGGTGCTCCCGCTGAGGGCAGAGCTCAGGTGAGACCTGACTGGCGCCGCGAGGTCCTGCCCATGGTTTACTCTCAAAGTAACTAGTGTGAACTCCCCGTTTGCAGGCGGCGTGATAAAACCTCTAATAAAGTCCGGGAGATAGCTTTAGGAAAGACGGGGCGTGGAGCGCTGGCCGCGGAGGGAGAAGGGGACTGAGTGGGCACCTCTGTTGGACCGAGTGGCTGCAATTATGGAGGGGGGATTTTTTTCATTTGCCCTGTGGTAACGGTATAAGCATGCAGGTACTGATACACGACAGCATGTACAATCTCACATGCAATGAATGAAGCCCCTTCTCAACTGTTACTGGAACAGCCACGCTTTTATTGGGTGGACAGGTGACCAACGAAAGACCTGGGATTCACAGTTCATTGTGCATTGAACAGAAGTAGGCAAAGGTGTTGGAAGGCTTCTGGCCCACCTTAACCTCCGGGAAGGGCAGCTGTAGATTCTCAGTGTCTGGACCCAACCCAGGCAGGCCTGAGGCGGCTGTGCCCCTCATCTTGCAGCCTGTTCAGGGTAGCTCTGTCCTTCATGGTCAGACCAAATTCTGAATGGCAGCCAAAAGGGACACCCTGATTTGCTGGGGTGTGAGAGAGGGTTAACACAAAGCCTCCGGGCACCAGTGTGTCAGGTCCTGCCAAACAGGAAAGGGAAGCGCAGACCCCTGCTGGACACAGGAGCCTCTGCTCTCAGGGCCTATTTATAGCTAGGGGCCTAGGCTGCTGACCTGGGACATTCCCCTGCTGCCACCTAGTCTTGGAGCAAAGCCAGTGTAAAGCACACTCCTCTCCCGGCTCCTGTTTGCCCCTCACCCCAGTGATCAGGGTGGTTCTTTTCTTCCTCCTCTTCAAGCTCCCCAGCTCCTGCTGTCCTAATGCTCAGTACCTCATAAGGAGACCCTCATTCAAGGAGAGGGAGCTGGCATTGGAATATCAGTGCCCACCCACTATCCCAAGCACTCTCTAGCCCTAGCCCTCCAGATGCCAGGTGCTGGTTAGCTGTCCTGGTTGCTTAGAGGCAGATGAGAAAGAGGTGCAGGGTTAGGGAGGAGGCAGTAGGGCCAGGGTGGCCTCTGGGCAGACAACAGCAGGAAGAGCCCAGCTCTCTACACATCTTCCAGTCAGAGCTCTGAATAGGGGGGCTGGGCAAGCACAAAGGTCATCTGAACCCAGCAAGCTGAACTTGCTATGAAAAGGTGTAGCTGTCAGCAGATTAAGTTTCTGTTCCCCAAAGAGGGTGCTGGCAGGCAGGGCAAGGGAAGATTTGGAAAGGTCACTTCGGGTGGGGAGGAGCTGGCAAAGGTCTAGGATCCAGAAAGTCCCTGGGGAGAATAGCAAGCCCCAGGGGCAGAGGTGCCAGCAGGAAGCTACTCTTGTGCCAGGGCAGCCTGAGGGAGGAGGAAAAGGGACAACCAGAGGTTTTTGATGATGCAAATGTTGCTAGGAGAAGCAGGGAGGGGGTTGCTTAAGATCTTTGTATTTTGTTACCAAAAGCTGAGATCCATTGATGCTGTGTGGGCTTGGGGCTGTCAGCTGAAATACTCAGATCCCTCCCTGGTGGCCCTGGCCTTATCCTTTCTATGGCTAAGATACTTCTTTAACCACTTCATCAGGGTTGGGGACAAGTTTCTGGTCTGTGCAAGGCAGAGACTGGCAGCCCTTGCCTTGGTGTCCCTTCCACTACTCCCCCCCCCATCCCCCGCCCCAGAGCAGGCAGCACTGGGCCTTGATTCTGCCCCTCCCTAGGCCAGGGAGAAAACTACATCTGGAGAAAGACAGGGCAGCTCCATTTACAGCAACAGGCTGCAGCCCTCTCAGTTTGAAACTCCAAGTGTGTAGCTGAGCCACAGCCTCTGGTCTCCAACGAAAAGCTGAGACAACTGATTGCTGAGGAGTCCTGGAGATCCTGGAGGCCAACCAGCTGCAAGTTTCACCTTGTGTCTGATGGGGTAAAAAGAGCTGCCTGTCCTGGGCCCTGGCTCCACTCACATGTGTTCTGGATGATTCTGCAGGCAGCGGATGAATTCACCCACTGGCTGGCCCTCGTAGCACACCTTGTACACGGCCATAAACAGTGGGAACCTAGAGCAGAGGGAGACGCCCAGCTTAATCTCCTGCTCTTGGTCCATTCTCTGCCCACCAGTCCTCAGCCAGTTCCTAAGCTTCCACTTCTGTACACCCAAGCCTGCCTACCCCCTGCATCTCAGGCACACTCTAGTGCAGAGAACCTAAATCCCCCAGCACTGAGTTTTAGGGTCAGGTTGCTGGTTGCCCAGCATTCCTTCTATGCCCACTTCACAGGTTGTACAAAGTTCGGTAGATGGTGGATAAGGGCAGGCTCCTCTGGCCTATAGCTCCCTGGCCACAGGGCCCAAGGCGGCACTCACTTGCCTACCAGGCCCTTGTGCCAGAGGATGCTGTGTGGCTCCCAGGCTGTCTGGGGCCCCTGAAGCTTCTGCCCATTCAGCATCTCTTTCTCCAGCTGCTCAATAGACTATCATATCAAACCTCCCTACACAACTCCCTGATTTCATATTTGCTTTTGTTTTCCCCATTGGGCAACTCATTTACCCTTTTTGAGCCTCAGCATCATCAACATGACAAAACAGAAAAGACAAGATGGATCTGTAAATGTATGCTTATGCATTATGTGGAGGTGTCAGTAGGCACCAGTTTCCTTTGCCATCCTTACCCAGGCTCCCTTAATCTAGGGCTACGAGCTGCTCCTCTGAACTTATTTCATATTCTTCTAGGATTCTTTCCCAGGCCAACAGAGCCCAGCTGTGTTCTGCTTAGCCTGTCACCCCACCATGCTCCCTGGAAAGGAGACATTAACACAGAGCCATTCTCTTCAGTACATAGGACAGGCACAGGGGACAGAAGGGCTAGTCTTGAGGGGACAGTCAGAGGTAGGACAGTGAGACATGATATACTCCCCCAGAGCTCTAATCCCCAGAGAAAGGACAAGTTGCCAGGTGTGGTGGCATATGCCTGTAATCTTAGCACTCAGGAAGCTGAGGCAGGAGGATCACCATGAGTTTGAGGCCATCCTGGGCTATAGAGTTTGAAGCCAGCCTGAACTGCACAGTGAAACTCTGTCTCAAAATACCACAGGGGAGGGGAGGGGAGTGACAGGGACAGAGACAGAGACAGAAAGAGACAGAGAGACAGAGAGGGAGGGGGAGAGAGAGAGAGAAAGAGAGACAGAGACAGAGAGAGACAGAGAGAGACAGAGAGGGACAGGGAAGGCTCTGTAGTCCAAGTAATGCAGCATAAAGAGCCCTAGATAAGAACAAGGCCATGGCCATGAACTGGCTGGGGTCTCTAGGCGCTCCTGCCCCTTCAAACTGAACATAAATGTACATTCCTTCTCTGCCCACTTTACAGGTTGTACAGAGTTCAGGAAGATGGTAGATGGGGGCAGGCTCCCCTGGCCTATAGCTCCCTGGCCACGGAGCCCAAGGCGGCACTCACTTGTCTACCAGGCCCTTGTGCTGGAGGATGCTGTGTAGCTCCCGGGCTGTCTGGGGCCCCTGCAGCTTCTGCCCATTCAGCATCTCTTTCTCCAGTTGCTCAATAGACTGTAAAGAAAGCAGGGCATGTGGGTGGCAGTGTGAAAGCAGGGTTGCTCAGTCTGGGGCTTAGATGGGAGGGAAGGAAAGGTGGGCAGGTCCATACAGTCTTTAATATTTGCGTTGAGGAGCTGCCTGCTGTGATGCACCTCTACAGGGATGCCCACAGGGCCCACCTTTCCAGTGCGGGCGAAGGCCTCGGCCACCTTTCGGTTCCTCCCTCCGTAGCAGGTAGTGATGAGGTCGGCGACACCGCAGCTCTCCAGGAAGGTGGCAGAGGACACAGGGCCATGGCAGAAGAGCTTGGCAAAGGCGATCATCTCCATGAGCCCCAGCCGTATCACTGCTGCCTTGGTGTTGTCGCCAAAGCCCAGCCCATCACAGAAGCCAGCTCCCACAGCCACTATGTTCTTGGGAAGGAGAGGGCATGGGTGAGAAAGGACCCCCATCACACCCAGTTGACACCCTCAGTGCCTGCCTCATGCCCTCACATCATGACGCATGTGCTAAGCAAAGGGATGCAGAGTGGGTGTTCTTGTCAACTGGCCACCTCCTGGTTTCCCCTCAGGCCACATCATCTTTCTTAGATCCTACCCCATACTGCATCTCTGAAAATATTTTCTGAGAGCCATTTTTCTTTCTAATTGATGCTGCCATCCAGGCCTATTCTGTTCTATTCTGTAATCCTTTGTCCACAGCTGCCCAGGATCCATAGTTCTGGCCATGAACCTTTCCAGGTGTCTTGGATGCCTTGGCTCCCACTAACCTTGGCATCTCCTTTTGCCCTTGGGCCACCCCCTAGAGCCAAGGATAGGGATGTCCCACAGGGAGCACAAGGGGAAGGGAGAAGGGTTCACTGGCCAATATGAAGGATACTTGGATTCTCGTGCCTGTATGCCCTACCCTTGCTTCTGAAGTTCTTGGTGGGAGACGCTTCATGGAGAAAGGGACCCACGGCCTAGGAGAGGCCAGGGCTATCAGCACTTGCAGAGATGAGCCAGGTCTTCTTTACCTCCAACCTATAGCTACTTCTGCCCCCTTCTCACCTTTAAGGCCCCACAGATCTCTACTGTGTCCACCTCTTGCACCACTGTGATCCGGAAATTGGAGGTCTGCATCAGGTCTTTTAGGAGCTGTCCCTGGGCCAGGTCTTTGCAGCCTTAAGTGAAGAATAGGCAAGGCTTTCAGGAGGGACCTTTTTTGTTTTTGTTAAGACAGGGTCTCACTGTATTGCTCAGGCTGGTTTCAAATCCTGGGATCTAGCCATGCTCCTGCCTCAGCCTCCTGAGTAGCTGGGATTGCTAGCAGGGACCTCTTGACTCTTCTTCCCACACCTAAGCAGGACCTGCAACCCCCTCCCTAGGAATGCCCCAACCCTCCCTCACCTCTGACACCTCTTCCTCTCCCTGCCTTGTGGAAGAAGGTGGCTAAGGGGCAGGGGAAGAGTTTGGGGAGGGGAAGCAATAGAGCTATGTGGTTTATTCGGGGCACTCTCACCAATAGTGGTCTCACAGAACTTCTCATCAGCCACCTCGCTGGCAATGTTGGCCCCCATCAGCACACTCATGGGGATACCAAGGCGCTCCCCAATCACTTCAGAGATGAGCTTCAGCCCATTGGGGCCCTCGTCTACCCCCTGGGCATAGGATGGAGCTCAGACCAGCAGCTCTTTACACCCAGCTGAGGGCTTCCCACCCAGAAATCCTGCCCTTTCCAAATACACTGTTAACAGTGCCCCTCCCAAAAGGTCCTGTGCATTCCAGCCCAGCCTTGGCTGGCAGTGAGGAGGGTGGACAGCAATGGAAAGCAAGCCATGGGGAAACTCTTCCCATACACTGTACCAAACTTCTTCCTCTGGGCCAGTATATTCCCTCCAAATCCCCAAGCAGCCTCCTTCACTCTCATGCCCTCCAAATCAGCCTTTTAGAAGGAAAGGGTATTAGGAACCAAACCTGGGAAAACTAGAGTTGGAGGAGTAAGTCCTGCCCCTGCCATCAATCCCTGTCTCTCATATGAAAGACTTATTTGTAAATCTCCTAACTTCCCTAAGACATGTGCCCCAAATCACTTTCTTATCTACTTTCCAACCAACCTCCAGCCAATGGCCCCAAGCATGTCACTCTTAATCCTCTCCAAAGTCAGCTCCTCTCTTTTCCCTGGGAACTCAGCCTATGCCTGCCATTTGCTATTCTGCTTGCTTTCCCCACCCTGAGCCTCACAACAGATAAATATACTCTATGCCCATCCAGACAAAGGTGTCCCTGGCACCTTAATAAGAGATATGCCGATGGCATTTGCCTTCAGGTGGCCCTTCAGCTGGTCACAGATCTTGCCGATGAACTGATGGGGCACCACAAAGATCAGGATGTCAGCCTCCGAGGCAGCCTGGACCACATCTGGGACAGCTACCTGTGGGATGAGCAGGTGCTCAGGGGCCTGGCAGACCTCCCCAACCCCTAGGGAGCTCATTCAGGAAACCTAGAAGCTGAAGAGGAAGCTGGGAGCAGGTTCACATGGAAAGGGTGTTAGGGACCAACTCTGGGAAAGCTGAGCTTGGAGGAGCAAGTCCTCTGACTCCCTGCCCCCCACCATGATTCCCCCTGCTGTGGTTGTCCTGAGTTCTTGAGGGCTCCTGGATCCCTCTGCCAGCGCTCTTCTAGCGTTTGGCTATGGGACAGTGAGGGAAGCCAAAGGCTGCCTGGACTTGGCGGGAGGAAGAGACCGAGTAAGATTTTATCACACTACTCCTCCAAAGGTCCCAACTGGGAAGTGAGAGCCCCAGCCTTTCTGCTCTCTTCCCTGCTCCCCCTCTCCAGGTAGGGAGAGAGCCACGTGGATTGGACTGAAGACCTAAAGTCCAATGAACAAACTTCAAGTCTGCTAATTGCCCAGTGAGTGAATAATGGGGTTAGAGCCTGAGACAGGCACTACCTGGACCCCGCATCTGGGAGCTTAACCACCAGAATTTGGTTGCCATGGAGACCAACTTCCTTGGCCTCCCCCCTTCCTTTCCAGTCTGGGAGCCTGGAAGCAGGAGATATGCTCAGGTTCTCCTCAGTCTGGCAAGGTGCCTAGGAGAGCACAAATGTGGGTATCCCGTGTCCACAGCAGCCCTCTTCAGATGCTTTCCAAGTCCAGCTGGCACCTGAAGTGGCCCCTCTCAGCAGCCCAAGTGCTAACTCCTGGGCTTCCCTCAGTTACTTCCTTCCCTCTTCAAGACCCTTCCTTGCGGGGTGTCTGGGCTTACCACATTTGGGGGCAACTTATGCCCTGGCAGGTATTTGACATTCTCATGCTGCGTGTTGATGATCTCTGTCAGCTTTCTGCCCCCAACTTCTTCTTCAAACACCCACATGGTCACCCGTGGGTCAAAATGGGACAGCTGGGCTGCATTGCCACCCACAATCTTGGCAATGGCTGAGCCCCTGGCAGGAGGACAACACAAGAAAGTGGAGGAGTGTGGTGTGAGAGGGAACACTGGCAGGGGTTGGGATAGTCTCATCCCAGGATTTAACAGCAGCCCACCAGATCATCTACTTTTCATCTTTATAGTCACCTCCACCCCTGTGCCAAATGTGTCCTCCATGACCTGACAAGAGAAAGGATCCTTACTCCACCACACACTTTGCTGCTAGAGGAGAGGACCAGCCTTCCGATCCCAACCCCCAAGCCCAAGGAGCCTTTTGGGTAGAGAAGGGAGTGCCCTGGTTGCCTTCCTATGGCAAACAGGTGCAGCTGCCCAGGCAGGCACACGGCCAGGGAGGTCCGGGCACTGTTTGTCCTATGCATAGGCATGGAAGACAGCACAGGGGCTGAGCAGGAAGCTAAGGGCTTTTCCTACCCACCCTCTGCTTCCTGTGCTCCTGGCGTTCCTCCCCACCCCTCTGCACATGGAGAAGCTGTCCTTCCCCATGGCCCTTGACAGAGCTGCTTACCAGTTGCCAGAGCCTACAATGCAGACTTTCTTGCCAGCCATGGTGCCGCTTCTCTGCCTGAGCTGCTGGTGCCGGCAGGAGCATTTAACTCCACCACACGAGGGTACAGCCAAGCCCCGCCTCCAGGGTGGCTGGGAGGCTGGCGCCCAGGGAGATAGGGAGTCTGGCAGAGCCAGGGAAAGCGGAGGAAAGGGTAGACAGGTGGGGGCCAGGGCCAGGGCAGAGGGCAGGCTGTTAGTTTGGCAGCGGCTGTCGAGCTGCTTCTCTTGGCCCCAGCCCAGTTTCCTACCCCTCTTGCACTGGTCTCATTTTGAGGTCTGCCAAGAAACAGCTCAGATAAGGAGCAAATGACTGGTCCCCCTCAATGCCCTTTGATTCCTAGCACTGAAATAAATTGTAATTAGCCTATTACTGTTACTCTAGTAGCAGGTATCAGATTACCCCACCCCCATTCCACAGTAATGAGGGTGGAAACCAGGGGTCTCCCACTACCTATCCCCTCAGCCTGCTTTTTGAGACAGTCAAGTTGCCTTGGTAGAATTCAAACTTGCCATCTTCCTGCCTCAGCCTCCCTCAGGGCTAAAATTACAGGTATGCACCATCACAGGTAAGAATTACCCACCTAACTCCAGCAATTACGCACCCCTAGCTGCTCTAGTTCATCTTCCTCCTGACCCCATACTAGCTCTACTGCAGGTGCAGACATGGGCTGCTTTTAAGGATAAGGACACATAGTAAGTACAGGCCTACTTTGCAGGCAGCCCAGCCCAGGTTTGAGACCCCAGGGGACATAAAAGACAAGGTCATCTTGGTTGCCACAGTAGCCATCTCTGGGACTTCATGGGCTTCAAGCAATCCCCACCTGTATATCTTGCAGTAAGGAAAGGGGAAGGCCAAAGTCAGAGGGCTCTGACGCCACGTGGCCTACAGTTCTGGGGTGAAGGACAGCAGTGGCCAAAGTTTCCTTTAGTTCCTTCTCTTGGGTTTCCACACTCCTTGAGGAGCTCCCACAGGTTAACAGCTAGTTTCCAGAAGTCAGAAAGGGGAACAGTGCCAGGACCCATGCAGCTGTTTCCAAAGCTCAGGTAGCAGTGTCCTCCTGAGCTCTATGGGCTCAGAAGCATGAGAGTAAGCAGTGTGACTTTAAGGGAAGGAGCCAGCAGATGCACTTTCAGCAGCTGAGGCTCTGCATCGCCCACAGCCATCTGTTTGACTAAGGAGCTCTGGTTTCCAGGCTGGTCTGGAGTGAAACAAAAAGGCTCCCACCTCCCAATGGCCTGCACCTTGGCCTAGAGGGCAGAAAGCACCAGCACTGCCTGCTCACGTGCTGACCTCCTGTCTGGCAGTCTGCTGAGTGGGCGTCACCATCTCTGGGGGCCACTACTGGCCAGCACAGTAAAACACACTGGGTTAGAGTCTGGGTGCAACCAGCAGGAAGGGTAAGTGGGTAGGAGGTAAAGACTACAGATAATCTTGTAAAGTTCAGGAACCGCTCAGGAAAAGCCCACCATATTCTCCCATGGCCAGAGCCTCCATGAGGGGAAGGTACACAATATTAGTTGTTTTTTTCCATTAGAACAAAGTTAAGCCTTATACAGGGCTTGCTGGCTACAGCCTGCTCCTTATTGCACTGGCACTGAGACAAGTCACCAGTGTCAGGCTGCCAGGTGGGGTACTGATTATGGGAGATGGAAGAGAAAGGATGTTTCTGCCCTTGGCACATAATAGGGACCCGGAAGAATGGATGTTTATACTTAAGTAACACTCCTGAATTTGCCTAAATAGCTCCCTCTCCCCTTAGCCTTTATAATTGTTTTAGGTGGTACAAAAAGCATTTGCCCATGCAGAACTGGCTCATTATAGGAAGTTATCTGTACCACTAGAACTCTTCCCGAGAGGAAACTGTAGATTATTTGCTTGAAATTACCTGGTGATTCATCAGTCATTCATTATACTTATAATCAGCCAGAGTGAAGACATGTCACTCAGGTGTCGACATCACTTTTCTCCACTCCAACTGACAGCCCCACACACTACTTTTCCTGCTCATATGAGAAGCCCCCAAGTTCCAGATTAGGAACAAGGATTGCTGCTTATTGCAAGGCAATGATGCAAGTTTTTCTTCCATGGAGGGGAAAGGTTTTCTTTGAGATAGGGTTTCACTATGTAACCCAGTCTGGCCTCAAAATCACGATGATCCTCCTGCTTCAGCTTCCCAAATGCTGAGATTACAGATGAGCACCACCGCACCTGGCCCTCTTCTTTTTGAACAATGGTACAGAAGAAGAAAGCAGTGATCACTAGGTGGTGAGCAGACAGAACTGCAGAATCCCATGTTTTTAGTTAGTGCAAATAATCACCTCCAGCTTTCTTCCAAATGGTGGATGAGGGGCTATCTTGTAAGACAACACACTGGTCCTGAAAATTGATATCCTTCTCAGAGCCTTGAGTGCAACTCAAGTACTGGGTTTTTCCCAAAATAAGACCTAACTAGAAATCAAAAATGCCAGTCTCAATCATAATCAGCCTATCTTTGCTTTACCATTTTACAGAGTAGCCACTGAACAATAGTAAGGTATAATGTTCCACGTGATGACACTGGTCATCACCTATGATAATGCTCAGCTATTATTTTCCAGTTAGGTCTTATTTTGCAGTAAACATAGAAAACCTAAAGTCCCAGCTGTTGTGCAAGCCTTGGCCTTGGCCACACCTGGACAGACACCTCAAGGAGACAATCCCTAGAGGTGATGCATGCATCAACCTTAAGGGACCACAGTTACCTGAGGGCAGCTCACTCCAACCAGGAAGCAGCCCAAGGAGCTCAGAGGGATGAGAGACAAGACTGCAGTGCCACTGACCTCACAGTAGCTGAACTGGAGCCAGAGGGGGCCCAAAGGCCCAGTGGTACAGTCCAACAATATCAAGCAGGACCTGGCCTGGGGTATCACCTCCAAGGTGAGATCTGCGTCCAGAGAAGATCCCGTGTCTGGTACCATGGTTAGCACACAACAGGTTCTCATTAAAAATCTGTCAAGTAAAATGCATTGCAAGCTGGGCTGTGGCAAAGGAAAAAGAACTCAGGAGCTCTCCCATAGGAGGCAGGAACTCACCCTTCAGAAGATTATTTTATTAAAAGTGGGTGACAATGATAAAGGGACAATACAAAAAAAAATTTGGTCCATGAAAAAACATAATTGTTAATAAAAATTTATCTTCAACTGAGACACTGTGAAGGAGTGCTGAGCTTCCTCCCTTTCAGGGAGGAGACGGGCCAGGCTCAGCGGCCCCAGGGTTGTCCAGTGTCATTGGAGAACCTTTGCTGGAGGGGTAGAAATATGGCAAGAGGAGGACAATGGGGCAAACACTCTGCTGTCCCCAGTGGAGAACAGGCAGGGGCGAAGGGTAACACAATGTACTCGCAGGAGCCTGAGGAGGGTGGGCAAGCAGTGCCTTTGTCAGTTCTGTGGCTTCAGAGCCCATGCAGAGCAGAATCCTCATGTGCCCAGCTGACTCCCACCCTGCTGTGTTGAGTCTGCGAGTCTGAGATATGCTAACTCAGGGGCAGCACAACCTCTAGGAATCCAAGGCCCTCCTGGAGATGCAAAACCATCTCAGTTCCAACGGGCCAAGATCCTGAGGTCTTGCTACCTGAGGGGTCTGAAGCTTTGAGGGCAGGGGCTGGGGAGTCACAATCCTGTGAGGCAGGGATAGGGAAGAGTCACAAACCCAACTCAGAGCTGTTTTGCAGCCCTAGGCGCTTTTGCTCCTCAGTGCCCTAGAAGTCACCAGCCAGTATCAACAGGGCAGACGGACAGGAAGACAGGGCTGGCCCAGGGCTTTACCCGTTTGATTTTAGGCCTGTTTCTCCTTAGAGAGGGGAGCTGGGAGGAGTGAATGAGTCATTCCTCCAAGCAACAGCAGGAACAGCCTCTGCTGGCATCTACAGTACCAAGATTAGATGCCTGGGACTCTGACGGGGAAAGGCAAGATTCCCCTGCCCAAATACCAAGGACTAGGGCAGGCATAAGGGAATCCTACAAAGGGCAGCTACACGGAGTGTGTGGGAGAGAGCAACAGTTCAAGAACATGCTCCAATACTGATGTGGACCCCTACTAAGGAGTCAAGAGAAGCACTAAGACTGCAGGCCAATCTATAGGGCTGGGGACTGACCTGGGACTTGGTGGAGCCCAAACCAGGATTCCTTAGTGCTAGAGGGCAACAAGTGGAAGAAGAGTTTGCTCCAAACATGTGAAAGAAACTGGACTCTGTCATCAGGAGAGCAAGTCAACTAGCTTACAGAGCACCCCCAGGCCTGAGTCTAGGAGGAGGAGGTGACAGTTCTTAACTCCTGGGTCTCTGAAGGGCAGGATCAGTATAGTTGGTCCCCTTAAAGACCACCTGGCCTTAGGCCCAGTTCATTCAGACCACTGATTACTGCTATAAGTTCTCTCTCTAACACTATCTAGAGGTCCGATGCAGACCAGGGGAGGGTAGAGGCACATGGGAACTCTGGGACAAAGGGAAGCTGGGGTAAGAAGGGATTGGACAAGAGAAGAGGCTAACAGGTATCTTGTGAGACCCTCTTCACTCTGGTATTGTCCTTGAACCAACAGCTCCCTGAAGGCCCTAAGTAAGACCAAGGCAGGTACTATGAGGCAAGCAGCACAGGGCCCAAATAATGAATCGGTACAGCCAAATCAGGGCTGCAGAAGAAGCCCTATGTATTCCGGATTCCCAGAGCTTGCTCTAATTCTTGTCGTCTCTGCTGCACCTAAGGAGAAAACAATGGAAGTGGAGGATAAGACAGATCAGAAACTGGCACTTAACACCAATGACTCTCACCAAGTGTCCAAACCCACTGCCCTTTGTCACTTTCCCACTGTCCCATGCACGTACCTTGGAGTAGAAGTATCGGCACACAGCCTCCTGAGCCCAAGGCTGGAAGTAGAACTCGGCTCGGCGCTCTTCCTCTGGGTTACCCACCACATCAGTCATTGTCTTAGGGAGAAGGATAGAGGAAAACAGAAGAAAAGAAACTTGTTTCCCACATTTATATCTGCTACTAGTCAAATTTTATCTCTCTCACAGATGTTGAAATTTGAAGGGCCTGTGAAATAGCTCAGTGGACTAAGTGCCTGCTTAAGCAAACACAGGGACTGGAATTCAATCCTGGCACCACACGCTGTGCTGCCCCTGCCCCCAGTCACACTGAACCCACACC